ATGATAAATTAAATTAAAATATAAAAAAAATTTATTAAGGGTATTTTAAGTAATTTAAAAAAAATTATGATATTTAACGTACCAATACATCTTATTTTTTGCTTTTTCTCTTATATTATACTATACAAAAATCAAAATAAAATAACTAAAAAAAAATCAAGTTAAGTACAATATATTCAAATATTAGATTATTAATTGCAAATGATTTAGAGGCAGGTTGTGAGCTCAATATCTATTATGCTCCCTTTGCTTTATATATTTTCCTAATTGCTATTAGTGACTTTCCATGACAACCCATCAAGGGTTGGGCTTTGGAGCTCTTTTATTTGGGCCACTTTTCTGGGCCTTTTACTTTTGATAGTTTCTTTTGTCATTTTTTTTAAGTGGATGAAATGAACCAGGCAAGATGTTAACGCGAACCAATAGGCTGGCTCTACCTCAAGGCCCAAGCACATGAGATCTACTGATTTAGCTAGAGGAATTGATTAGTCAACCAATCTCCAATTCTTCCCGTCTCCACCCCTCATCCCCACATCACTTTCAAAGAATTCAAACAACCAAATGAGTTGCCTTATAAACGCATCAATAATTTCATATTTGTTGCTATCAAAAGAGTTTTTTAAATAATAGTTTGATTCTGCAAACAACTTAAGTAATTCAGTGATTATATTTGGATTGTATCCTTATTTTCCTTTCATGCGATAGACTTCTGAGTCCATACTCTTCAATGGTTTTACCTAGAATCATGGCATGCTGCTTAATAGAATCTCCTTACTTCTTATGGCCCAATTGTTGCTTGCTTAGCAATTTGCCTTTATTTGTTAGATTGAGTCATTGAGATTCCTTTAGTTCTACTATACTGTCTATGCCTATTGTATTTTCTGTCCACTCAAATTCTATCTCTTCTCCGGATGGTAAGTAACAGAAGCTGAAGAGGCTTACAGAAGAGGATCAAATAGAGAAGCCATTTCAGCATAAACAAATGAAGATCAGATTCCCTGAGCGTGGAAGGAGTGGCAGATCTGTTGTTACCATTAGGAATCTGGAATTTGGTTTCGAGGAAAAGGTTTGTTAACACATTCATTTGCTAAAGGAAAAAGGTTTTTGAAGTAATGAAGTGTATTCTTTTCTTTATCATGACATAGATATGTTGTGTGTGTCAGTTGCTATTTAATGGGGCTAATCTGACAATTCAAAGGGGAGAGAAAATTGCCATTATTGGTCCAAATGGCTGTGGAAAGAGTACTTTACTAAAGCTGATTTTGGGGTTAGAGAGGCCTAGAAGTGGTGAAGTACTGCTCGGAGAACATAATGTTCTGCCAAATTACTTTGAACAGAATCAGGTATATTATGGACAATGTTGTGTTTTCTCTGGATTTGGTAACCATGGTGACTCTAGACCTTGCTGCTAGTTGCTAAGAACCATTATGAAACAAACTGCTAAGTGCTGACTGATCTTGTTTTAGGCTGAGGCTCTTGATTTGGACAAAACAGTGCTTCAGACAGTGGAAGAAGTTGCAGACGATTGGAGACTTGATGATATAAAGAACTCCTTGGGTGTTGCAATTTCAGAGCTGACATGCTTGACAGAAGGGTTTCCCTTTTGAGTGGTGGTGAGAAGGTTAGTCATGTGGTGGGGAATGCATTAATGCAATAATATGGATTACTACTTTAGCCTTTATTGACTTCATACAAAATTTTGTTTTTTTCTTTGAATGGTTTTATTATAACTTCTTCCATCTTTCCTCGACGTTTTGTCTTTGCATACTGTCGAATTTTATCACATGATACATGAATTTGACGATCATCTTTTTCTTGTTTTGTTTAGGCGCGCCTTGCATTCTGCAAATTCATGGTAAAACCTTCAATCCTACTAGTTTTGGATGAACCAACTAATCACTTGGATATACCTTCAAAGGAGATGCTTGAGGTTGGTTTCTCTTAGTTTTTTTCGCCTGTATTAAGACCATTTTATTTAATTAGTACATGATACCATACTCTACTAGGTCTAAAGATATCTAAAAACTCACATTTTTCTATCAGGAAGCAATACTGGAGTACAAGGGCACTGTTATAACTGTTTCTCATGATCGATACTTTATTAGGCAGATAGTTAATAGAGTAGTGCAAGTTAAGGATGGCAATTTGCAAGACTACGTTGGTGATTACAATGTGAGTATTGTTTCTTTTTTTCCCTCCTTTCCCTGCACTATATATCTTTTCACAACATATCTGCTTGGGATACTCTTAAAAATATCTTCCGTAGTCATCAAGGAGGGATCCATCAAATTATATGCTTCTCTTATCATAGAGCTCATGAACCAAGTGTGTCTCTTGATACTAAGTGTTTCTTTCCTTCACTCCCCTGCCCCATCTTTCTTAACAACTTCTTGAATGAACTGAGGAGGCCATTTCCTTTTACGTTGCATTAACATCATCCAAACTGGGAGTTTGGGGTTAATTGGAATGTAACTATTAAGATGCTTGCTGATTGTTTTTACTCATATCCATTTGGCAGTACTATCTAGAGAAGAACCTTCAGGCACGCAAGAGGGAGCTTGAGCGTGAAACTGAACTTGAAGACAAGGCTCCCAAAGTTAAAGCCAAATCCAAGATGTCAAAGGTAAGCTTAAACATCTTCGGCTACCAATCTTAAAAGGAGAGGCCACTTAGGCAGCGGCAGCTCAGTTAAAAGTTTCTGTTTTTTATTGTCAAACAGGCTGAGAAGGAAGCTCGGAAGAAACAGAAAATGCAGGCCTTTCATTCAGCAAAGCAGAAGTCAAAGGGGCTGAAGAATGCTAAGAGATGGAAATGAGTGATGCACAATCTATACGTTCTTCAATCATCAATGGAAATCATCCATTCTTAAGGCTGATTTTACCATGTAAAGAGCCAGTATGGTGAATTGACCGTCAGCATGTAAACAGAAATACAGTTTTCATCAATATAGATATGTGCAATTTGCAAATCTAAATTTGTGTTTCTAAGTTCTTAAAATTTAACTTCAAATCAAAACAATTGATAATTTACATAAGATTTGTACCTATGTAAGTGAATTCCTAATT